GAGCCTCATTGTCACACACGCTCCCCCCTTCGCCTCTTTCCACCTTACTCCCAGTCACCCACAATCCTTCCACCTCCACCACCTCCACCTCCACCACCTCCACCACCTCCACCACCACTGCCATCTCACATCCACCTCCACCACCACTGCCATCTCACATCCACCTCCACCACCACTGCCATCTCACATCCACCTCCACCACCACTGCCATCTCACATCCACCTCCACCACCACTGCCATCTCACATCCACCTCCACCACCACTGCCATCTCACATCCACCTCCACCACCACTGCCATCTCACATCCACCTCCACCACCACTGCCATCTCACATCCACCTCCACCTCACCACCATCACAGTCATGATCCTCACCACTGTCATCATCGCTGTTGTTCCCATCACCATGGTATTCACAAATCAAGACCAGTTCTGTCATCCCACCTCCCCAGGGTCCCCCCTGTCCCAGAGACACATCTCTCACACCTGTCTTTAGCTAGATGCTCTGCTCTTGTTGTGGTTGGGAGTGCTTTGAACCCCAGTCAGCAGGAGTCACACATCTCCCCTCAGCGGCCTCTCCTCTTCCTCTGGCGTGGTAGTGGTCGGTGCAGGAGTGCCGGGGTGCCAGGCCGCCTCTGCCAGCTTTTTCACAGTCTCACCCAGCTGGCTCAGACCCTGAGCGGCCCCGACCAGCTGCGCCAACCCCACTCCCAAGGCTTGGCGCTCCTGCCGGTCCTGTTCCAGGACCTGAGCCAGCTTCTGCAGCTGAGCACCCACCTCCCTCACAGCGGCCACTAGCTCCACCAGGGCAGGTGGCTCACATGCCATGACCCTGACAGGTGCTGTGGGGGCCACACATGGGCCCAGGGAGCCTGGGCTCTGGCTAGGAGGGGGGCCTCGGGTGAGGTGGTCAAGGCTAGGTTGATCCAAGGGCTGGGGGGGGGGGGGGAGGTAGCCGTTGGGAGCCATTGTAGGGTGAGAGGTCAAGTGTGGGATCTGGGTAGATGGAGGGGTTACTGTGGGGCTCTGGCTTCTGGGTGGGTTGAAGTCCTCAGGGGTCGATGGATGCACATGTGAGGCCGGAGGGGGCCTTGAGGAGCTGGACTCTGAGGCTGGGGAGGGCTCTAGGCTGGGTGTTTGGGACATGGGGGTGTGAGAGGCTCCTGGGGAGGCCGACTGGGTGTGCTGGCTGGCTTCGACTGTCGGCACTGGAGTGGGGAAGAGCTCTGCTCCCGAGGAGGCTGAGAGGGATGTGGAAGTGGTGGCAGGTGTTGACATGGGGTCAGGGATCATGGTGGGCGGAGGGCTGGCGGTGGAGGGCTGAGGGGCGGTGGCCTGTTGGGGGGTGGTGGAGGGCTGAGGGGCGGTGGCCTGTTGG